AGTAATATAAAGCATGGTGGCAATGTCATCAGTATTGCACAATATCCACCGTTATTACCACACAAACTGTTACTCATGTACCTGGTAGCAGAACTCACTGAGTCAATCAGCAGCACAATATTCATAAGGGCCAGAAAAGCCTGGTTGATAGGACATTGGACTTGTGTTCTTGAAAATGGAAGTTCGAATCCTGCCATCCTAAAAAAGCCTGTGTATTAAATGGTAATTGGTGCATGTTAAATCTGCCGGGGTCACAAAGTCCTCCAAGTTCCAATATAAAAAAATTGACACCTTCGTGGGTACTGAATTGAAGGTTGATCATTCTCTGATTCAGTTCAAAATTATGTGCATAATCAAACGTGCAGTAAAAGCATGCATAATCAAAACTTTAAACACATCATTGCTCCGCATTACCGGTACTTCTCTGCATTTCAATGATTTATCTTCATTTCATCTTTTTAAAAAAACGTTGTGAAAAAGTTTAGTAACTCTCAAACCTTTTTGATTAGCTACTCTTCTTTTGAAACTCCAGCTTAGATTGAAAAGGAGCTGGAATGGCAATGAAACGACGCTCGAATGAAAAAGACATATTAATTATGCCTTATTTTACATAGTGAAACCTTTCGGGAGTCACCACATTCCGTTCCACTGTAAAGTGGTCGTTGATGGAGGTGGGTCGTTCTTTGGGGTTACCTCCATAGACTTCAAAGTTGTTATTGAAGGTACATGATTATTCGCAAACACTTTTAATTTCAGTCATTGTCATTTTCTTGGTGCGAAAATGCCACTTCTGTCAGCGTCACGAAAAGACATATCGAAGAACGAACATTAGCGACTATAAAAATGATCAAAACTAATATAATTATGTTTGAAAACAAATTTACCAATTATGAACGATAAAAATATTTTAAATAAATAAACAATTATGTTTTTTGTTTAAGTTTGCATTTAATTTGATGTCATAAAAATTAATTAGTTTTAAAAGATGAGAAGAAGTGTGTTTGTTTTTTCTAAATTAACTTCTTTTTTTTTTAAAGTTAACTTTCAACTCTTAAAGTAAATCATTGATAGCATCATCTTTAGTGCACTCTGACTGCAACATAAGGTTGTATCGTCAAAAAGAACTCTCTGAATTAGAACCTCGCACCAATATTTTGAATACATTTTTATCTACGTATTTGTATTTCTTAATTTTTTTTGTATTTACCCGGTCACTGAGAGAGGTCTTAATGGTCTTTCCTAAAGGGTTTTTTCAACACAAAGTCTATGGAAAAAATTCTGTGCCTCTCAAAGGTGGTTGTGAATAGAGGTGGTTGCTGCATAGAGGTAGTCTTTCCTGGAGGTTTCACTGTATATTTAAGTTATTTATTTGTAGCGGTGGGCAAGATTCTTGTGATTTAAATGAATTAAAATATTTATACATTATCTTTGCTACGACTACAAAAAATATTTATTTGTGCTGAGTCTGTTTAAGTTAAAAAGTTTGTAGGAAACAATGACTCACTAATCTACATAACAATGTCCAAAACTTGGTGTACAATTGTACTTTATGCGTATAATTCCATATTACACCTAAACTAATATAGATATTCAAACAAACATTAAAGCAGGAAGAAGTAATAAAAAGATAGAAATGTGTGTTTGTAAGACAGCACTTCTTTGGGGGACACACTGCCTACAAACACACAGGAGCCTTTCTGTTGTCAGTTGTCTTACAAACACACATTTCTTTTATTTTATTACTTTTTCCTGATTTAATGATTATTTGAATGTCTAAATTAAAAGAAAGCAAATTTGTTTTTAGCTGCTTTAGGCGCTTTTCCATTTTGATTTAGTGTTTTAACTGTTAATTTAATTCTTTGTCTCTTTTGTTTTTGTAAATTGGATTCATTTTTTGAATAGCCCTAAACTAATAGTCTGATGATCTCTGTTAAACCAGCACAATTAGTAGGAATAGGACCTTATAATAGCCTAACCAAACATTGACCTTGATAAACATTAAATCATAATTCATTTTTTATTTATCAAGCAATAAAATGGTACATTATCATTCATAAGTAATCAGAACTAATTTCACCCACCATTCTCCTAGAAAGCATCAGAAAAACTGAAGCAAACATCAGAAATGAAAGAAAGTTTTGCTGAAACCTGTGAAAAGCTGCAAAAAAGAGTTGCTGAAATGATTGAGCATCATGCCAATGAAAAGAAAAAAGCTGTGGAAGAGTATGCTTTATTTGTTTTGTCTTTATTTATAAATGTTTTTATTTTCAGTTCTGAATTTGCTTGTTAGAATTTTGTTGGTATCAGAAAGGAAAATTTGAAATAGTTTGTTTATATTGTTAAATGAATAAATTACATTCATACCCAGAAACACTTCAGTATTCTAATTCTTCTTTAGTTTAAGGAAGTTTTTTCATCTACCAATTTAAAATTTTTTTCTTCATTTTATTTCATATTTTGATATCTTATACTATGGAGTATATGTGGATGAAACCGTTTAAGGCACTTTTCTTTTGATTACTAAAGAAGCTGAGAAAAAGTTTCATTATCTGCTATCACCATCAAGTTGCAATTAAAAAATCAAATGTTGACTGCATAGTACAGAAGTAGATGCATGCAGAGGCAAAGTGTTCAAGGTCAGGAGACCCAGAAAAAACTCAACTTCAGGACTCGTTAAACAAAGAAAGTGAGTTGCTGAACCAAGCAAGAGTGCTAATCAAATAGGTAAGGAGATGTCATTACATTGTCTACACTTACATTGAGCCAACACACAAGACAATGCAGCTGGATTGTTTTCATGATTTCTTATAAGAAAACCTCTCATCCAGACAAAGAATAGGATGATTCGATTGAATCTTGCAAGGAGCACAAAGCATGGACAACTAAAGATTGGAAGGAAGTCCTTTGGAGTGATGAATCCAATTTCAATTTGTTTGGTAGTAGTGATAGCAAACAAATTTTACTTGTTGTCCAAATTTGACCAGATAAATCCCCGATACCAACAGCCGCCAGTGAAGTGAAACATGGAAAGGGATCAGTAATGGCCTGGGAAGCTTTCCATCATAATGTTTTACCCCCTTGTACACATCAAAGGGACTATGAGTCAAGATGTTTATTTAACATTTTAGAAGTTGACTTGTTACCTTATGTTTGAGAAAGATTCCTCATGAATGGATGCTTCAGCATGATAATGATCCTAAGCACACCTCAAAAATTGTGTTGAGTTGGTTTACAAGTAAGAAGGTTAAAACTTAAATTGGCCGAGTCAATCACCTGACCTGAATCCAATAGAACACCTTTGGGAATTCATCAGAGGAAAAATCTTGGCATGGAAACATCCTTAAGGATTTTCAATCAGAGTGGGCGAAAATCCCTAAGTCCAACTCTAGAAAGCCTTGTTAGTTCCAATCACAAACAGTGTGCTGCAATCATCAAGGCAAAAGCATATTTTACGAAGTATTAAGAATTTGCGGTATTTTCTTACATTAAGATGATTAATTTCAATAAAAGTTTAGAAAAGCTTAGTTGTCTCAAAACTTTTGATTTCAATTTTACAAATCCTTATTTTTTGTTTGTTAAATTAAAAAAAAAAATTATTTTTATTATTAGTTGTCCCCCTTGTTGCCTGATTAAAGCTACAAATTACTAATGTACATCATTAAGAAATTTTGCTTTAAGGAAAATTTAGAGAAATGAAAAATATATTATCTCAAAATTTTTGCAACCTGCTTCATGTTCAAAAATTGTGTGCAAATAAGTGATCTAAAGAAACAATATGGAATTGCTCGCAATAAATCGCAAAATTATATGCTTGCAATAAATCACACAACCAATTGAAGCTAAAACGATTGATCTTGATAACAGTTTCTATGTAATTATGGATGGTAATTTCAATAATTAACAGAAATGTGGGATTCATTGATTCAACACCTGTAGCTCTGCAATTCACATGTAAAGACATAGTTTGTTGAGAAATGGCAAACTTTTGTGATCATCCATCATTGTATGATGGATACCAATTATCCAAGTAAAGAAAAAAAAAAGAACTTACCGTATATTCTGGCGTATAACGCGCACTTTTAATACAAAAAATAACATTGGAATTTACGGGTGCGCGGTATACCCCGAATATAAAAAATTATAGATTAAGAAAATTTAAATTTAGAAAAATATTTTTATTTTAAAGAAATAACATACCTATATACTTCATTGATTTTCGTTATTGCATAAATAGTTCATTATATTCGTCTTCCGTTATTTCTTCAGGCACGTCATCACAATCTGTTTCGTCTTCATCATCTGTGTTACACTCATCCATGAATAAACAGTCATCTTCTGATCCGTCCAGATTATTTGAAATGCTGCATTTTTTAATGATTTTCTAACCATCTCAGGCTTAATTTCATCCCATGCTTTTAATATCCATTCCCACACTGTTTCCAAACTTGCATGATGCATATATCCTCCTTTCTTAAAGGTTTTCTCGCCCTCCAACAACCAAGTGTTCCACTGTTTTTTTTAAATTGGCTTTAAAAGCAGAATTCCAATGGCTGAACTAATGGTGTCAATCCGCCCATAATAACTGCCACATCGGTGTTACATTCTTTCAACAATTTTTTTGGCATTATCTGTAAGGTGGGATCTAAACATGTCCCACACTGAAAGGCTTTCTGGTTTTCTATAGATACTAGACCAGATATTGCACATGTACAATCCAAATTTTCATGCGCGTTATACGAAGAGTATATCTTAAAATTTAAAAAAAGTTATTAGAAATTACGGGTGCACGTTATACGCCGGAATATACGGTAAATCTTTTCTATCAGTAAATCAATAAAAATATTAATAAAAGTAGGCCTTTTTTTGAACTTTTTTTAAATTCCTTTTTTTACATTATAACTTTTTCTTACGATAATTATGACTTATTTAGGTTAAACATTCACTCTTATTAAATGTTTGAAGTTCCTACTGTTTTGTCCTATTCTGGATCAGCGGGGCACCTTGATTAAGCAAGAGAGTGGCCTTATTTCCTACAATTTTGGCCAATTCATGTTTAATAAGCTCCCTGATTAAGTAATTAGATAGCCTTGATTCCTACAATTTTAGCCATTTTGGGTCCAATGGGCACCCTGATCAAATGAGTGTGTTGGTTCCTACGTCCTCATTATAAGTGAGTTTGACTGTAATTGTTTTCCTTTCAATGATTATTTCCTTTTCCTCTTTTTTGTAATTCAATATTTCTAATTTTATACTACCTAGATGCCGTGCCAAATTCATGGAGCTTCATGAAAAAGAAGTGAGCGAGTTGAAAGAAAAGCTTCACTCTGATTCTGAAACAGATCTTATTTGTTTGCGTGCTAAATATGAAAATGAGATATCTAAACTTCAGTAAGTTATTGAGGAGAACTTCCAATTTTCTACCATGGAGATTATTTTTATGTTTTAAAATATAGTAAAATGCGATTAATCTTTTTGACACTTCTTCATTTATGTATATTATTATCAACATATGAAACGCAGACATTTTATAGAGTCATTTTAAGCAAAGATTGATGTAGAGAAATTAGTACAGTGGAAAGTCGCGTATCCGGAATCGGCGGGACTTCCCGAAGTCCGTATATTTGATTTTTCCGTATAATTGACCTCCAAGGTAAACAAAGCTTAAAATGATCTGAATCTCAGAAGCAGAAAATAAATAAACATTATTTTTCGGGGAATAATGTTTTAGTATTAGAATGATATCTAATCAATCATAAACAAAATATTAGAAAAAAATAATTATTGCTATTTTAAAAATAAATAAAGAAAACGAAAAAATTCACAGTCATGAAAATATTAATTGCTCTCTCCGCCATTTTGAACTAGAACGATTCAAGCAAGAAGGGGAAATTCCCGTCATTCATTAAGGTGGGTAGGTGGAGAAGAAAAATTCATTTCCTCCTTACTTGTCATTCAAGTTGAGGCGGGGTAGTGACAAATTCTTATTTTCTCTCCCATCATTGGCTATCAATTAAGCATAAAGGCGTGGCATGCTGATTGGGTTCTCTTTATTTTTTCTTGTGTGACTAAAGGGGATTCCCCCTCCACTTTTACATTTGCTGTGTTTACCCTTTTTCACAGTATTTCTTCTTCCCCTGACACTCAAATAAAAGGGTTCCAGGAAATGCCTCTTTTACTAGCCAGCTGCATAGGAAAGAAGGGGGAGGAAGGGGACTCAGTTGTGCTCTTTTGAAAGCAAATCCCCCCCCCTCTTTCCTGCATTCCAGAGGTGGAGCGTCATGGTCTTAGTAGATCTTCTGTTCTCTTTTCTGTTGATTTATGGGTCCAATGCATAGATCTCTAGAAGCTGAAAAGGGGAAAAATCTGTCAAAAAGACTTCGTTTTTTTTTTTTTTTTTTTAAAGGAGAGGGGAAGATGAAGAAATGTTTGTTTATTTTGATTGTTAAAAAGTGTCCGGGAAATCGACCCTTCCAGAAAAGGGACATCTGGATATGGGACGTTACACTGTATATACTTTGCCTGGGCAATGAATGCAAGATCCTCTTTAAGCAAATGGCAAAGTTTGATAAAAGCAGGGTTGCCACAGGCGACTAAATTGCGACAATTTACAACTATATTTTGAATACATTTTTATCTACGTATTTGTATTTCTTAATTTTTTTTGTATTTACCCGGTCACTGAGAGAGGTCTTAATGGTCTTTCCTAAAGGGTTTTTTCAACACAAAGNATGATTTTATTTCCTTTTCCTCTTTTTTGTAATTCAATATTTCTAATTTTATACTACCTAGATGCCGTGCCAAATTCATGGAGCTTCATGAAAAAGAAGTGAGCGAGTTGAAAGAAAAGCTTCGCTCTGATTCTGATACAGATCTTATTTGTTTGCGTGCTAAATATGAAAATGAGATATCTAAACTTCAGTAAGTTATTAAGGAGAACTTCCAAATTTCTACCATGGAGATTATTTTTATGTTTTAAAATATAGTAAAATGCTATTAATCTTTTTGACACTTCTTCATTTATGTATATTATTATCAACATATGAAACACAGTCATTTTATAGAGTCATTTTAAGCAAAGTTTGATGTAGAGAAATTAGTATATACTTTGCCTGGGCAATGAATGCAAAATCCTCTTTAGGCAAAGTTTGATGAAGGCAGGGTTGCCACAGGCGACTAAATTGCGACAATTTACAACTATTTTGGACCTGAGGCGTCTATGACAACTTTTTTGCCTGAAAAGGCTATTAAAAAAAAAAGCAACTTTTTTTCAGAAAAAGGGGACTATTTGGAGACTTTTCTGTTCTAGCTATGTTTATTAGCATAAATTGGGTTAACAACCTGCTTCTAATCACAATGATTTTTTTTTTAAAAAAAGAACTAAAATATGTTGAAAATTTTGAATTGCAAATTTGAGTTATCACTTTTTAATGCACTCAATTTGCTCAGATTCCGTTGTAAGTCTGGTTTGTTTCTCAATCGCCTTTTCACCTGTTATTGCTACGGGGGGAAAAGTATGCGTTTTTTTAATGTAAAAATATTTTTTTGAAGGAATTCTAGAAATTAGAAGTATTTAATTTTCTGCAAATATTCCGTTTTTTTATGTAAAAATTATTGTTAGAACACTAACGTTTATATAAGAATTATCATATTTGCCACATAACTTGATTAAACAGACCATGATATATGAACAATTAAGTAATTTAATAAAATTTTAGTCATATTTTTGAAAAATTTTTGCTCTTATTTAGGCAACTATTTTCATAGTTTTCGTAAACTATTTTCATGCTTTAGGCTACTAAAAGCAACTATTTTTTTCTGTGGCAACCATGTAAAAGATCTTGATACAGCTGTTTTTTTTTTAAGGATATTCATTTCTCAAAAATATTATATTTATTTTAAGAAGAAAAATACTGTGGAACTGTGAAAATACTGTGAAGAATACTGTGAAAAGTGTCCCACAGTAAAATGATTGGTAATAGTTAGTTGCTCTTAAGGGTTACCTTCATTGACTTCAAAATGTTATCAAAGGTACATGATTTTTTGCAAGCAATTGTAATTGTTCTCAGTGTCATTTTTTTGGTGTGGAAATTGCCTCTTGTGATGGAATTTTACTGCAGCTTGCAAATAGTATTTACAAGAATATAACGAGTCCGAGTGTAAAAGACAAAATATAAATATACTCAATAATGTAATCAAAGAGATATACAAGGCTCATAAATTGCACAAGTATACTTCTTTTAGCCTAATCAGGGAGTTATCAAAAAAATGTCATAGGAAATTTTCTATAAGTACTAAAAAGAAAATTTATTTTATGTCATATTAATACAATTGTTTTTTGATTTGTGTCTTTTTTTATATAACTGTAGGAAAGACTTGGATGATGCAAATATGAGATTACTTGAGGCTAAACAAGACTATATAAAAATATTTGAAGAAAACAAAGAACTTCGAAAAACATTCAATGACAGTACAAGACCAAAGGAACGAACAGAAATCGAAGCTTTTATGCGAGCAGAATATGAGAACAAATTAGAGCAAAGTATGAAATGGTTAAATAATTACTTAGAATTAGTTTTAACTTTTTATTAATTAATTTGACAGTTTTTTCTTCCACCTGTTTAAGAATTAAAAACAAATGCAAAAAAAAACTTAATCACTATAGTGAGAAAAAGATTTTAAGTCAAGCGTTCTAATGGTGTGTTAAAACAATATTGTCTCAGTAGAAAAGTCAACGGAGCTACCTGCATTGATTGTAATAATACAAGGGTCACAGTCATAAGAGGTCGCACTAAGGAGTCTTACTAGTAATCTATAAAGATAGAATAAAATATTCACTTTCAATATGTTTGGAAACAGAAATATCCTGATTTGGACAAAATTTGATTGTCGCCGTTTTTTATATGAGTAAAATAACTTAAAAACTCTTAATAAAGTGGTTTTATAAGTAAATAAAAAAAGTTTTAAAAAATCATGTGATTTGTCCACGTTATGCTATGTAGTCATCATCAATCACATTGTAGATTCATTTATAAAATGTATAAATTTATATATTCATGTACTTTTTTATATATTTTTTAAATCTTTTATCTTATTATTTATCTATCAAGATAGGGTAAAATATTCATTTCCAATGTGTGTGGAAAGAGAATGATAGTGATTTGGTCAAAATTTGTATTGTGGAAATGTTTTAGAATAATTAAAATATTAAAATTCGTCATAAAGTGCTGTTATTAATAAAAAGATCACATAGTTTGTTCACATCATCAATCAGATTGTAGATGCAAAAGAAAAAGTGAATTTATATATATTTTATTTTATTATATATCTATCAATATAGGATAAAATATTCATTTTCAATGTGTGTGGAAAGAGAATGATAGTGATTTGGTCAAAATTTGTATTAAAATATATGTTTTAAAATATTTAAAATCTAAAAAATTCGTCATAAAGTGCTTTTATAAAAAAAAGATCACATAGTTTGCTCACATCTTCAATCAGATTGTAGATGCAAAAAATGAATTTATATATATTTTATTTTATTATATATCTATCAATATAGGATTAAATATTCATTTTCAATGTGTGTGGAATGAGAATGATAGTGATTTCGTCAAAATTTGTATTGTGGAAATATTTTAAAATTATCAAAATAAAAAAAAATCGTCATAAAGTGCATTTATAAAATAAAAAAAGACCACATAATCATCAATCAGATTGTAGATGCAAAAAAAAATTTATATTTTATTTTATTATTTATCTATCAATATGGGATAAAATCTTAATTTTCAATGTGTGTGGAAAGAAAATGATAGTGATTTGGGCAAAATTTGTATTGAAACGTTTTTATGTACGTAAACTAAGGAAGAAAGAAAACTTTTACTAAAGTGGTTCATTAAAAAATGAAATTACATGGGTTTTTTTCGCATTATACTATGTGATCATTATCAATCACATTGTATTTTATATCTTTTATCTCATTTTATATATATTAAGATGAAATTTAATATTAACTTTTGAAACGTTTTGTGCGAGAATAGTTAAAATTTGAATAGTGGAAATTTACAAATTAAATTAAAATACAAGACACTTAATAAAGTGTTTTTTTTTCTTGTTTTTTTCTTTTTTTAATGAAATCAAATAGTTTTGTTGACATGCTGTTTTATAATCAATTGTATAGTAATTCAAAGATTAATTTATTTATTTTTTAGTCTTTATCAATAAAATGCCTAAACTAAGTAGATATACTTATTATTTAAATTATGCTTTTATAGTGAAGGAACAACTGCAGAAGGAAAATGAAAAAACTGTTGGAACTCATTTGAAAATAGAGATAGCCAAAATCAAAGAAGAATGGACAAAACATAAATTAGCTGAAGTCAAAAATTTTATTGAAAGCACCAAAAAACAGTTGGATGAAAAATTTAGAGATTGCCTACTTAAAGTAAGTATTTGTTTACATGTGAAATCTATCACTTGGTGATTCTAAAGAACATCTAATGGTATTATCAAGTGGAAATTCTGCCTACATCAAAAAATACTGTGGACTAATTTAATGTGAAAAATTAGTTTTGAATAAAAGTCAAACTTTTCCCTAAAGGTCTACTTATCCTTTATTAATATTTTAGTGGAATTTTATAGCAATTTTTTCACTGTAGTGTCTTAATAATTTAATAATAAATTTCAAGATGCATGTATCAATTTAATGAGGCTATTAGTTTAAGTTTTGAACTAAAGGGTGAAGTTTTTTAATATTTTTCAAAGTTTGTTCTTGTTTAATAATAAACAGAAGAAATTAGAAATTCTTTTAAAAGGTGGGACTAATTGGACCCTGGAGTTTGATTTGTAAGCATATTAATAAGCGTTGCAGAAAAAATAAAAATTTTGTATAAATGTAGAGATTTTTATGACTTAAGTATTTTATTCATGTTTTTTATCCATCAATATTATTCTTATGTTTATTTAACTGATATGTTATGTGGCAGAGTGTATTAATTTTTAAAATTGCTCCTCTGAATATTTTTTTTTTCTTTAACCTTTTGCTTATGGCTGGTACTACAAGTGGTTCCACAATGCTAAGCGGTGTAAGCAAAGGGTTAAGTATAAACCCTCATTAAAAATTTTATTAAAAAGTGATTTTTTTAAAAATTTATTTTAACAGGAACGAACAGCTTTGCAACAGGCTCACACAGAAAAAGTTCAGTTGTTGAAAAATGAGTATGAGAAAGAGAAATTGGCATTGAATTCTAAACTAAATAAAGTCTACCAATCAGAGTGGGAAAAAAGATGCGATTATATAAGAAAACAGCAAGAAGAACAGATTCATCTCTTAGAAAAGGATTACGAGAAAAAAATACAGGACATGGAAAGTAAAATTAAAGAACTACAAGTAAATATAATTTTGTTTTTGTTTCATACCACTTTGCTGACAAGACATAAATCAATTTGATAAAAAAAAAGTTAAAAATTTTATGCACACTCAACTGTTTTTAGTATGAATTGAGATGGAATCCTTAAATACTTTATATTACATGAAATTCAAGTTAATAAAAATATTTGTTTCTTATAAATAAATAAAAAAATTATAATTTTAAACCAAATTAATTTATACTAAATATTCTAATCCTGCATATAAAAAAAAATTTAAAAAAAACTTTGAGGCTTACTAATTACTAAATATACTAGTAAAAAATATAATAACATCAATATTTATGTATATATAAAGAGTGAGAGAGAAAATTTTTAATGATGCTCACAGGAAAAAAGAGAAATCGGTATTGAATGCTAACCTAAATAAACACTACCAATTAGAGTGGGCAGGGCTGATTGTGCTCCGGAAGTTTCCGGAGATCGAAGGTCCAGACGTTTCAAAAAATCATTGATCACAGAAGTTTCCAGAAATCAAATTTTCAAAAGTGGAACTTAAAAACACAGTTTATTTTGTTTGTAAGGGAGAGCCAGATACATTTTTTTATCAGTAAATAGTTATAATCATAAACTCAGGAAAGTAAGACATATTTGTAAATTTTAATTACTTCTCCTCGAAAAACCTAGTTTAAATTTTTTTCTAATTTTTCAATTTAAATTTTTTTTTTTTAAACTCGGGAAATTTTCCGGAATTTTGAGTTGGGCTCACAATCACCCCTGAGTGGGGAAAGAAATTAGATAGAAAATCATTTAATTTGAATCACTTATCCATCAGAAATGTAAGAAACCTCAAATAACAAGTGATCTAAGTTTAAAAACCTTAATAATTCTTTACACTGTTAGTCTACCTAGGAACCTAAATAAGTCAGTCTGGATTGAAATAGTGTAGTTTTTAACATTCATTTCATTCCTTTATTTATATAGTCCTTTTCGCAGACCCGGTACCTCATAGCCAGCTAACCATGGGTTAAGAACCACTGCTTTAGTCTTCTAAAATTCCAAAATTACAATAATATTTAATTGCAATCATATTTTTGCAACCTGCAAGCTACCGGTTCAAAAACAATAATATGGATCTAGTAACTTTTACACTATTTACAGGAGAAATTACCATCACCTAAAATATACAATGATGAGGTGGAGGAATTAAAAGAACTTTTCTCCCAAAAAGAAAGTGCCTGGAAAAGTGAAAGTCAGCAACATCTCTCAATGATTGCAGCTCTCAAAGCAACTTTGAACGACCAGGAGGACATTGAGAAAAAACTGAGAGAAAAGTTAAATAAATACAAGAGGTACTGTGAAAAAATGGAAAAAGAGTACAAAAATGAAACTTCTTTGTTAAATAGAAAAGTTTCAGAACTGCAAAAGAAACAAGAATTGCTTCAAATGGATAAAGAAAATTGTGAACAACGGCTGCACAGAACAGAGGCTGAATTCTCAAGAAAACAACAGTTTTCTAAAACTTGTTGCATCCAGGTATGTCATTTCTTGAAATTATAATTTGATTTTCTTCTAGAAAACATAATTATTGCTATATCGCGTTTCCAAAAAGACCATTGTGGTATAGGATTTTACTTATCATCCCCGTATAGTTCCATTTAATTTTGTTATCAAATTATACAAATATGTTTTCAAAACAATGTAAAAGCTTTTAAAAGTTAAACATCGCAGACAGAAATTTAATTTGTGCTATCTTGTACAAAATATATCATAAAATTGTTAAACTAAAAGGTTATAGTTTCATGGTCTTACTGGAATCCTAGACTTGGTGACATATTTCGATAAGTAAAGAGATCATTCGTTCGTGAAAAAGAAACAACTATATGACATTGCAAGGACATTGAATAATTTGACTGGACCACTGTCGCTTCTTATGCTGACATGCTCTTAACAAATCAAATGCAAGATGAAGAATTTTTACTTTTGTTTCTCTGTAGAAGAAAATCGACTGTAAAAAAACAATATTTATTATTCTTTCATCAGTTTCTTTAAATGTGAACAGGAAGGAGTATATCGGTTACGATTTTTAAATATCATTTTTTTCTTATTAACAGAACAATATTTTTTTTTTCAATAAGTTTTATTTTCCTCATTTCACAAGATTTAAGAAAGCAAACAAAAAGAAGGTAAAGTTGTTTCAAGAGTTGGCGATGTTGATGTATGTTTGCGCTGGGAGCTTGGCATCCGTTTGGCATGCTCTTAGATGCAAACAGGCTCTCTCCATAGGGATAGTGGTTTTTTCTTAACTTGCAACAAAGTATAGATTGCATCAGGCAAAATTAACATTTGCCACAACACAAGGCGATTAAATATAAAATATGTTGATTAAAAATTTGTCTGTTAATTAACTCATAGTTGCCTCTTTTTCGCCGATAATCGTGAAAGTTGTCACTGCGGATAGTCTTCCGAAATCATTTTCTCTCCATCACCCATCTCAAATTTCCTGTCGACTTTCGTCAGGCATTAAAGTGTTAAGTAAAGGACCATTTTTACTGGATGCGAATTTGTAGTAATATTCTACAGAATAAGCTAATATCCTGTGTTCACAATGACACTTATCTGTTGTGCTTTTTAATTAATTTTGAAATTATCATTACAAAGATCATTACATATCCTATTTTTATTATTTTTTAAGTACATATTAAAGTTACATTGTGTGTTTATGTCATTTCCATCATAAATAAAAGTAGATTGCTGTAGTAAACCAGCCACCATATAATCTGCAGATTATAAAAGANCCCCCCCCCCATAAATAGTGTTCAGGAAATTACGATAATAATTCTTGTTCAGATTATTTTACAAGTTCAATTCCATATTTTTTGTTAATTTATGACCGAAGATATTTAAAAGTTATCTAATTAATAAAAATCATTATGATTGCAATTATTTTAGACTTATTTTGTAACTTTATGGAACTTATTTTCAGACTTATTCGGGGAATTAATAAATTTTATGTTTGTTAAGAAACCTGAATTTTATATTGCATTATTGGTTCAAACAACTCAAACCCAAGACTTTATTTGTTTAGAACATTATACAATTTTGCATAAACCTACTTAGAAGAGGTCAGGAAATTTTTCTTTATTTTAGAAATGAACTACGTAGTGCTAATCATTTGTTGAGAAATGTTTCACATTAATATCAAATTTTTTTTGATTGTTTAGAATTTTAATTTTTTGAAAAATTGGCTATTATTGAAAATGCTTCTATTGGCCACTGGACCATAACAAAATTTCTTATTCACTAGTTTTAATTTCTATTTATAAATTTAAAAAAAAAACTGATGTTAGCAGCTGAAGAAATTTTGGACGTTTTGAATGAAGTTAACTGACATTTTCTTCACACAAAAGGAGAATCTCAATACAATTCATTCATCTTAAACTCATCGCCTTTATTTTATGTCAATTCTGATTAGAAATAATATTTGAGTGCGGAAAAATAATGTGGACGAAATTTAAAGCATCACTAATGAAAGACTCAAAACATTTAAAACCTGTTTGATTGCCAAAGAAAACAGAGAGGAAGTTGACAAGGAAGAAAGAAAAACCTTCAAGTTTCATCAGGTCATCAAACTGGTGGTTTTAATTTATTTCTTTCCTTTTTCTTTCTTTATTTGACAGGCTTCGCTTAAGTTTTTGCACCTTCCTCGCGTAAATATTGTTTATCAATCTCCCTAATAAGCATATAATTTAAGCATATAATTTGAAAAATATATATGTTAAGGCTAGTGTTTAACAGAGCAACTTATATATATACTTTCTTACTGAAGCAATTGACAGTATTTAATATACTTTCTGTTCTGCCAAAGCAATTGACAGTACTAAGTAATTATCAATTTTTACTTATATCTATGAGTTCAAATATCGCACTGGCTTGTTTCTTTTTCTAGACCTTATATGCATTTAATTTTTTTAAAAGGAAAAACTTTTTTTTCTTCTTTCTATTTTCATTGTTAACGTAGAAGACTTTGACTGAAGCTGGAAGTTGGTTTGTTTTTCATGTTAACATTGCACTAGAACTATATTAATGATGGGCTATTCTGGAATTATTCCTTAGCAATGATCCAAAAATTATTTTCACTGCCTTACCATAATTTAATTTGAAAATCTCAAACTGTAATAATAATAATAATAAAGCTTCCCTTAATGTAATAATCACAGGCTAAGCTCAAATTTTGTTTTTATTTTTTAGACAGATCAAGAAGTTGTACCAAAACAAGATCTTATAGAGATGAGAAAATTATTTTTTGCCTGCTTAAGGAGCATATCTGGTATGAACTTCATTTTTAATGAATTTTGACTGTATTTTGATATAACATATAATCTGTTTAGTTGCAAAATTATTTTGAACTTTCTTCTTTTTTTTAACTGATATTTTCAGAAGAAATGCAGAGCTCAACTGTAAAATAAAAAGTCAATGATCAGGTTTTGTTTTTTTTAAGTTAGAATTACAGTTTATTAATGGCATTAAGGCCCTATATTTCACTACAAAAGCGAATTTATCACTAGTTATTTAATCAAAAGAAGGATGCTTCTTAATATTTTTCTTTAATAAAATGAACCCCTTACAAAATTTTTCTTCTGATAAATGGAGTTGATAACATCTTGAATTCATAAATTTAAAGCTACTTCTCTTGGTAAAAAATGACTTTTGCTTTTTTTTTCATCTCATAGAAACAGGATCCCACCAGAAAGAGCATGATTCTATGGTATTTTTAGATTAAATTATTAATAGATTTCTCTTAAAAACAGTACCTTTCTGAAAACCGCTTGTTTTTGTGTATTAATTTATCCAATGTTTTTTACCTTTTACAAAACCCTATTTTCATAAAATTATGAGTGGATTTTCCACAAAAACTCTGGAATAACCCCATGTGACACAGGAGCCAATCTTTGTTCTTGTTCTTGTGCAAATAAATCTTACCTTCAAGTCAATTCCAATTAAGATTTTGAGGTGTTTTAGAGATTCTTGTTCTTTCTAGTTTTAGAGATTCTTGTTCTTTCTAATTGTGCCAGACTTGGTTTACAACACTATTTGATCAGTTAAAGTTTGGAGCAAAATGTTGTTAATAATTTATATTTGGTGCAAAATAACTAGTTCCAGTTATACACTACATTCAATGGAAGATGACTGTTTTTACAGAAATGAATTGTATCAAATTTACTAATTTGATGCGTTTATGTAAGAAGTCCTACTATTTTAAATTTGATTAAAAAACTAATCTTAACTCTTTTGCATGCCATATATGTGTAACTTTAGAAAAGAAATTAAAAACAATTTTTATGACTTGTAGTGCTGTTTATGACATGTTATAATATTAAGTTACAAAACATTTAATCTGTAATAAGTTAATTCCTAATTTGGGATTTTATACTTTTATTTAACCTGAGTAACTGTTAAAGTTATGAATTATTATATAAATAATGAATGACTAAATATATTACACTGTGATACTTTGAGGATAATCTAACTAATTTATCAAGTATCAATTTGGATTTGAATTTGCTCTGAATCAAATGGTAATAAAAAAAAAATTTTTGGAGCAGTCTGATTGCACTCTTAAGCACCCTTAATTTTTTGTGTGGAAATTCTGTCATTTTTGTGATTAGATAGGAAGCCCTTACTTGCAGTAGTTACATATTTAGAAGAAAGGTAGGGAACATCACAAGGACCGAGAACTGAATGACATCTGACAAGAGGAAATATCATATTACTGATTAAATTACTGAAAATGTCCTATATTACTGAGTTGACAATCAATTTCGCTAGTCTAGTAAGTTGCCATATCAATAAACTACAATAAAACAGCTATACTTTTTTCCTGTTTGAATGCCATTTTCAATTAAAATAATTTAAAAACATAAAAGTAATGTAAAATTAGGATAATTTAAAACAGTGGTTACCATTTTTAATTTTTTTAGCAGCGGGACCCTAAATGATCGAACTTCTTTTAAGGGAACCATGACTTTTAAAAAACATTCATTAGCAGGTTTAAATGAGCTAACAGAAAAAACTAAAAATTAATTCAGAAATTTTTATATTTAATATGAATAAAATTCTTTCTTTGTTTTATCAATAAGTCTTTAAAATTATGTTCTATGTTAGACAGTTGAATTCGCAAGTCTGTAGCAGCTATGTTTTCTAAATCTAGTAGTTATTGTTGTGTAATTTGAAATTGAATAAAATTAGCTAAATTATGGTTTTTGAAAAAGAACTGTTATAAAATATGAGAATGGTTTCCAGAGAAATATAATCCCTATTCTTGAATTAGTTTATTTTATTTTGAATTTCAAAGTTCGATGAGAAATTCTGATGCAATTATTTGTTAATATGTATCCTTTTATTGATATATGTTATTATTGGAAAAAATACATTTTTTACAATTTTACACAAATTATATAATAACATTAATGTTAAGTGAATAATGGATTATTGGTTGAATATAAACCTATTATAGGTTTCAAAAATCATTACTAGTTAAAAAGAAAGTCCCAACTTACGCTTCTCCTGGGACCTTTCCGCGGAACCCCATTTGTGGACAGCTGATTTAGATAAATAAAAGTACCAGTTCTAAATGTGTGCAAACTGCCAGTTCATAATAGGGAAGTGACCCTTCTGGCATCTTACGGCATTTTCTACCTTCCAAATGTATCACCACTGCACTGAATCATCCTGTTTAATTTTTTTATAATCACATCATGTGTCAACCTAAATACATTTTGATTTATTTATCTTTTTGTTCTAGAGGATAATAAGAAATGTTTAAATGCAGCTAAGGATCGGAGCATCGAACGTCATCGCCAATTAATCCTTCAGTATCACCGACAGCTAACCTCTAAAATGTTCCAAGACCACTCTAAAGAAATACATTCCTTTCTACAAAGCATTGCCATTCCACAAACAAGAGCTAAAACTACCATATCTTCCAGTCCTACTTTCACTTTTGATGTGAGCAAACATGCACAAAACTTTTGCAGCACTAAGATTAGGTCATCTCCTTCAACAAACAATAAATATGCACATAACAAAATTAATGCTGATCAGGAGGATTCAGCACGAATTTTCGCCAATGCTGATCCTGCACAACTGAACTTTGAGGACCTTTCTTTTGACTTTCAACTTCGCAGGCTTCCACAAAGTAGTACTTTTGATTCAGGGAAACCATTGACTGATACGGGATTTAGCAGTAAAAGGGCCCATTCCTGAAGTACCACTTACCAATAAAGATTTTAACTGTGCACAATCTAATTCTTGAAGTGAAACTGTGATTTCTCACTAAGTGCCGTTAGCAGAAGTGCCAACTATTACGATTTTGGAGAATTTTTGTAATCTGTTTGAAATACTTATTCCTTTAACTAGCAAGAGTTATACAATTTTTGTTTTTTTGCAGCCAATATATGCTACTTCTTAAACAATTCTAAAAAAAATGAAAATGGGGAATAAACATGATTTAAAAGAAAAAAGAAAGTAAAGAGCCAAGAATGCTCTCTCATCTTTCTCTCCTCCACCAAGCTAATATTAAAACGCCGATGAGGGTTAATTTAAATTTTAACCAAAAACTAGAACAATGATTCCAAGTTAACAATTTATCATTTTATGATAAAGTATATAGTTTCAGAAATTCATTTTATTTGGTACCTTTCCTTAGTGTTGTTACTCTTTTTATTTAATAGTAAAATTCATGCATACATTTTGTTAATATTTTATACTAATGTGGAAATAAATACACCTTGAAATTATGCAAAGTTTAAATTATGTTATAACTTCTATAAAGAATATTTCTGTGTTACTGTATGTACTTCTAATTACTAATAGCTGGTTTGAAAAGTTGGCATCTCTGTTTTTAGTTTTAGGTTTTTTTTTAAACTTTCATTCTACATTTCATGTAAATATTCAGTAACAGTCTTTCAATTGCATTCTTAAACTGCCGTCAAATTTTATAAGCAATGTATTATTTGTTTTTGTATCTAGCCATACAGCATTATGAATTGAATATGTGCAGTCGAACAATCTAGCTCAGGAGCACCACATTCAGAAATTCTCGCTCCCCATAAATGTATCCAAAAGTACTTCTTTGAAAGAGGGAACACTTTTATCTTACTTTTTTAAAGAGGATGTTGTTACGAATTGTTTAATACGTATAAACGTTTAAACATATAGAGCATGACGAAAAGAAACAAAGTACAATCTCGCTACTTTTTGGGGAGAGTATACACTATTTGTGCCATTTGAAAGATAAATGTATGTATTAATGTCTATTTTATAAGCAAAATCGGTTGTTGCCACCAATAATTTACAAAATTATCAATATTTTATTTTATAAGAAAGAAAAAAACTTCCATATGAAAATGAGCAAATTTTCAGGACTATCACGCTAATTCAAATAAGTCAGAAGTCTGACTCTCTTTATAAAAAGTGTGTTAGAAAAATTTGGTGAATGGTCTCATAAAATAGAGGAAACAAGATGTACAAATCACAAAAAAAAAAAAAAAAAACTGAATAACTTTTGATCTAATAAAGGGATTTTCAAGTACTGAGATTCTGATGGTTTGAAGGCCTAACCTTAAATAAACTAATAATGCACATGATGTTCTGAATTTTTTTTTTTTTTTAAATCGGACATAAATACGTACTTTATCTGAAATAACGTGTCTTTTTTTCCCACTGGATTTGATTTCTCGACCCTAGAAATATGAGGGTAGCTGCAAGCTACAAAATAGGGTGCCAATAGTTTGGTCAGCATAACGGTTTATAAGTTTGGACAATTTACCAATAATTTGACTTTTTGGCACACCTTATTAGTTTTTTAAGCAAATCAAAACTTTTGCTCACAATTAAAAATAAAAAAATTTCCAAAAATACTTTTATGCGGAAAAAAAATTTTAATTATGTGCACATATGAAAAGACAATGTATTTTTATATTACAAAAAATGAAATTTGAACAAAATTGGTTGAATACTTCTCGTGAAATCAAATTTTAATTATATGACTTTTTTTAATATTTGATATATCTTCATCTTTCAACTTCCCAGGATAAAACTGTATACTTTTATTTGCTGGAAAAATTGCTGCCAGTTTCAACTACCTTGTCTAATTTTAAACAAATGCATTCCCTCCATTTTAACCCTTCATCAATGGACTTACACTTCACTAACCAGATTGAAGTTATAACTTATTTTAGCTATAATATATTTAGTTATAACTTTATTATGGCATTTTTAGTTAGTTTATATTTTTAAAATAAGGTTATTGTTTTTCTTCATTCCCCCCCCCCACCTATATCTAATCTGAAACTATAAAAAAATATATATCACACATTTACTTAAGTTAAAAAAAAAAAAAAAAAAAAATTCGAAAATATTCATTATTTTACAAACAATTGTTTACGTATTGTAAAACTTTCAGTGCCCTGATATTAGAATAACGTAATGTAATATGACAAAGCCTCGAAATTACAAAGCATTTTTCCTACATTATGCAGAATCAGAATTTTTTAATAACATTCAGAAAATTATCACTTAATTACAAAGACAAAAGTTTGTATAATTATATATATTTATTGTTTAATTTATAAAGTAGTAAAATTTGTAAATAAATATCATAAATAAACTATTTATGAATTGTAGTTATATTCTGTAAAAATCAGTAGGTGACTTTTATCTTATTATTAATAAATGATAAACTAAATCTATTTTTTTAAAAAGTGGTGGCTTTAAATTTTTGTATTTTTTTTAATTATTATAACAAAATAAATTTTAGCATCATTATAAGATATGTATATATGTAAATAATTTATATTTAATATAAAATGAAAAATTTTAACAAGTTAGAAATATTTTTATAAAATTATAATTCAAAATTTGAAAAGAAACCACTATCTTTCTTTTTCTTCCAAAACTCGTTTCTGTGAGTATATCTTAAAAAGTATGTCATAAAATAAATCATTTTATTGCTCATGCTTCTATACATATAGAAGCATGAGCAATAAAATGATTTATTTTCTTCTTTCTGCAAAAACTGAGTGGGCCCTAATATACCTCTTTTTTTAAACATATACATGGTTCACTAGAAAAACATTAATCCTGAATGAAGCCGTTTGTCTGCTTTTACGCCATTTGTGTTATCTTAACATCCTTAGTGAGGTTATTCAACTGTGAGACTATTCACCATATCTTTGAACACATCTTGTAAAGAACAAAAATATATGATTATTGATTTTTATTTATTTATTTTAAAATAAGACTACTGTGAACGGTGCTATATATATGTTTTTTTTTTTTAAATTGTGTAATGGTGCTACTTTTAAAAATGTATTTGCTATTTATTGTAAATATACAGTTTAGATAAATTTCTTTTACACTAATTGGTATTATCATATTATTGTAATTTGAAAAAATATGTCTAGTATTTCATGTAAATATTATATGACATGTTCATTCGTTGAATTTCTGAAAATTTTTTAAATTTATAAGTATTTTCAACACTTACCTTGATATTCATAAATATTTGAAAGTATTGATATTAATTATAACAAGAATATATCCAATATTAAAAAAAAAATTTAATTTTATTGTGATAGTTAATAAATAACTATAATTCATCCTCAGAAATAGTAACAATCAATGTTTTTGAAATTAACTATGAAATCACTTTTGTATGTATCTGAGAATATTGACTTTCTTTTCTTTCTTTCTTTTTTTTAATTTCTTGGAAAATATCTTAAAACATTGAGCTGGAATTGCTTAAGTACATGAGAATGTTCACCGTTTTGTGCTAGATCATACAGTCACTTTCAAATATCTCTGAAAATATCGATTTTCTTAAATATGTATATATTGTTTGCGATAAAATTTTGTTATAAATATTTATATACTACTGAATAATTTTTTTTTTATAAAATAATATTTTATGGATAGAGAGAAACAAAAACACTATCAAAATCAGTCAATAAGTAAAGAAGCAGATTGAAGGACATCAAATCCTGCTTGATTGTTAGATGAAAAAGAGAAGGTATAAAAAGCAATGGTTCAAAACACTAAACTTTCATCTGACAATCAAACTGGTTTTTATATTTTTCATATCGCGTTTTTGTTAGTTATTTGTGAGATTTAATAACGTTTTTGCTTCTCTCTAGTTAAAAAATATTAATTTGCATCTCTAATGTGCATAATTTATTAATAAGGATTTTAAAAATATATATTAAGGTTGGGGATTACAGAATACCCTATATTTAACAATTTTTTGTATTGCTTTTGGATTTTAACTTAAATGCCAACAATTAAAGGATAGGTTTTATTAATGAATGTTGAAATGCATTTAATGTATGCTAATTCCTTTGAGTATTAATACAAAGTGAAGACATAAATTTAAAAAAAAGACGAAAAAACTTGATTCAATCACTTATGTAAACTTCTCAAGGAGTAAGCTACTTGGATTTGCAAATGTTTTTATAAACATTTGGACTTGTATTATTGTATTCTCAGTATTTATTTGTATAATAATTTAGGTTTACTAGTAATTTATTGTAGGTCTATATGTAAAATCCTCATCAAAATTATGATAAATATTTTGTCAAATAAAATGCTTTTAAAAGAGACTATTCTTTTAAAACAAATTAAATGTCACTTTTATTTTTAAAAAACTGTTTCAAGCATTTAACACTCTCTAGCAATGTTTTTACTTTATTTCTTAAATTTAGTCACTGTTGTTTTTGATGAAAAATTTTGGTATGAGAAAAAATTATATTTTTTCTTTCTTAGTTGGTTAAAATGTTTTGATTGGTACAAATGCTTTTTTTTTTCAGTATTTGTAAAATGATTTACCTAATCATTTATACAAACAATTTATTTGTGTCCCTATCAGTAAAAAGATATTGTTGATTTTTTTTATAAAAATAACTTTTAATCTCCTTAAAATAAATTTTTAAGTAAGAGTTGACCAAAAGAAGTGTTTATGCTACTGTATTATGACATGAGATATCATAAATACAGTAGAAATAGCTTCCCCAGTTACAAATTCAGTTAAAAGGATAGATAATATGATGATTGATTAACTATTTTGCATGAGAGCTATTAAAGTATGTAAAGCTTTGCTAGGATTTTGCATCCAGAACAGAATAATGCAGGGTTGTAAGAATACTGTCTAGGATAAATGCTTGTACACCATAATGTATTGCATACACCAATAGTAGATCCGTCAAGAATAACAAACAACATTATCCCCAACGAATCCAGTGCTGTTGTTGATAAAATGATTATTGGTAAATGTATCTCTAGAGCACTTTTCTTGAGTAATGAAATGTTACAATCACTTTCTGCTGCTAAGAATTGTACTTATTTCACTTTCTGATTCAATCCTTTTTAGCATGACTTAGCATTCACTTAAAATACTGATTAATAAGTTGCTCACATTCTATGGGGAACTTCACACAGCTTCCTTTTTAAGCCTGATATGTGGTGATGCCATCTCTAATATATTTTTAGTGCCAATACTTGCAGGGTATCCGCACGCCAGAAAAGTCATGAATTTCGGTATTGAACAAAATTTGTCACGATTTTAACTATTTTTTTTTAAAGAAAATAATTGATTTAGATCGCTGTAAAATCTAATTTTTAAAGTGGAATTTAAAAATACCCCCCCCCCATTTCATGGTGTTCGGAATATCTGAATTTGTAATAAAATCCCCACTCACTATTTTATTGAAATATAAAATGTTTTTATCATGTTCTTTAAAAGTTCTGGTGTTCTTTCAAAAAATGAAAGAAAAACCACCATTTCTAGAGTGAATTATCTTTTAAACTTCTGTGATTTCAGAATTTTTGTTATTATTTATTTTATCAATTTAAAATTCTAGCTGAAGCAAGCCGGTCATTGGCGAATTTTTTTTTATTCCGAAATGAGAACAGAAAAATCAGGAGTATTTCTTTCCTTTCTAATGAACAAGAAAAGTATCTTTAGAATATAATTCTGCAGAAAAAATTATTTGCTTTTGTATTTTTTTCAGCTATTTTATTGCCTCAACTCTTTCTTTACTCTGTTTTTTTAAATTTAAAATGTTTAAATATGAAGATGCAGAGTATAACAGTTTCGGTTATACCTATAATTTCATTTTATGTTATTGTAATGCTTTTTTAAATTTCTTGATGTGTTTTTGTCGGAAAAAATAGTAACTTCGTTAAGTCATGAAAAATTCTAGGAATGAGTCATGAAATTGAAAATTTATAATGTAGCAGATACCCTATACTTGTCTATTTTACATTATTAAATCTGATTACTGGACACTATTACAAGACAAAAACAAGTATGTTTCACCTAATCCTTGGTCAAAATTTTTCCATATAATAATTTTAAATGTGATGTATGCTTTTTGATTTTTCATTTAATTATTAATTTTATAATTAATCATGTAGTTTACTTAATAAATCATGTTAAAAAAAAACAGGGTTTTTCAAAGCTCAATCGACAAATAAAGGGGGGGGGGGTTAAACAGCATCAAAAAAACAAAAGATTACTTTAAAATTAGATTCACAAATCATGTTGAGTTGCTAATTTTTGTGTATCATTCTCATTAGAATAAAATAATATATTAAAATCTAATGATGTGGTGTATAACAAAAAATGATTCTTTATTCATTACCCATTTTTGAAGTGGTTTCTCCATTACTGTTATTATTGATTTCATTTCTGTAATTCCATAATTTATTAATTTTTATGAATATACACATTTATTTACACTGGAATAAATAGTTTTATTAATTTAAAACCTTATCACCAAACAAATATATCAAAAAGCAAAGTATTTTCTTATTATCCATGTCTTGATTTTGGTGCTGTTACTAAATGGATTCCTAAAATATAGTAAAAAGATATATTAACATTGTATATATTCAAAAATATTTTTTAATTAAAAATATGTATGTATTATCTAAAATTCCTACTTAAATTTAACTTAGTTAAAAGTTTTTTCTCATGAAATCAACACAAAACCTAGTTAACCAAGAGCAATTTAAATGAAATAATTTGCTCACTATGTCTATGATGTTTTTTTAAAACGTCTAATTCTTAAGGACCGTAATGTCCTGTATATAATTCGCGAATTATCTGTTAAGAACATAAGAGCCGTCACTGTAGAGAATTTCCCGCCTTGGATAATCTGCCGAAATTATTTTCTGGTCATCAAGCATCGCGAATTTCACTGGCTGCAGTCAGTTAGCGGATGGATGACCAGTTTGATTAGCCTGTATAGGGATCGAGGTTGCGTGGTATCAGTTCTCATTAAACTGTTCTACAGTAAAGTGCTCGTTCGCTGGTCGTCGGGCTGCCAGAGCAGAGTAGCCGCCTCCACTGCAGAGGATCAAAATTACGATGGCATATCTTTGGATTATCCTCGGGGATGTTTTACTGAGCGCAGCCAGTAATGCTTTACTTCGGTGTTCTATTCGATCTTTACAATCAGTCCACTGCGGGACGTATGTCCAGTGAAAGCAGTAAAATGTTCATGCTGAATTTTGAAATTTAGTTACAAAAGGTGGCGCTACTGTACTTTTTACAGAGTTCTTGAAAAGAATACAAATACCGTAGAACCTGTGAGATTTCTGTTCCAGAAACATACGCTATTTGATAGAATACATGGTTTAAACTTAATCTGATACAGCAACCTCTTTAACGATAGAACGGATTCGTTTGAACATCAAAAGCAATGCCATCTGTTGGTAATGTTTGTAATTAAGTTTCGATATTTCTATATAAAATTCTTACATCTCTCACAATACATATACATACTGTTTGTTTCATTCCTCTCCCTTTATTTCCGGGATTTTTAAGTCAGCCCGTTCGTCACTGTACACACCCTGTGCATGAAATTTTTAGAAATTTTTGGATAGAAATGTCTTGTTCGATTACTAGGTAATTACTTTTTATTTTAAAGGCATTTTTTTGCCATTTTAAGTGCATTTTTATAGATGATTTTATTTAGTTCATCAAAATTTCGAGCTCTCAGCGAGGCTAAACGTCATTGGCATCCCATTATAGAGGGAAAGAAAAGCATTCTACCTGATCCAGCAGCGGCGCAAAAAGGCAAACGTGGTGACCAATGTCCATTGATGTCACATTGATAACTATTTGTTTTCGTCCCTGGTTTATCTTCGAATTTGTGGCATTTCACGCTGCAAACTGGACCACGATCAAGTGTTGCAGTCTTACAGCTTCCCTTTCCACCAGATGTTAGAGAAATTGTACAATCAACATAAGCTGCAGTGAATTAAATAAATGAATTGTTAGAAGCTGATGTATGAAACAACTCAATAAGTTATTTTCGTTAAAAGCTAGACAAATTGTGAAACAGCATTAAATTCAATTATTAAAAAAAATGCAGCTGATTCTGAGCAACAACTTAAAAACACTGATAAAAAATTTTAAAAAATGCAAGGCCAATACATGAAGAAATTTAAATTTCATATAGTAATAAAAAAATATGTTCTTTTTCTAATGCAGAAGAAATAACAGAATAAAAAAATTTGAATCTAAGTTATTCATGTAAACTAAAAACGGGATTACAGAATGAAAAAAAAAACGTGAATAAAGCACAGTAATGGTCATACTATAATTTCAGTTCTCTAAACAGGAAAATCCCTCAGTGTCTAAACACTAAATGATATTGAAAAAGTAAAGAGATAAAATATTTTTAAAGACTATGACTTTAAGAACATGGAAGATATGTCAAAAATGAGGATTTTTAGCAATTTTCCATCACCCTTCATAGTTCGAATTGTAATAATCATTTTGTGTTTTCTTTTGCTGAACACTGCTCTTCATCTACCGAACTTGATTTCTGGGAATCACACCATATTTTGAAAAATTCTTATTATTTAATTTATTCTACAATTTTCTGATGTTTGAAAATATATTTTAATTTAATCTTTTGCCCCCTTGGGTTCCCGCCCAAACCCCTTCACACCTGTTTCTTATGACCCTTCTATTTATTATCTTGTTCAAACTTGTTCCTCTGTTATAATTGCCCGTATTTATCTTTTTCCAATATTATTTAGTGTTTAGACACCGAGGAAGGTTCTTGTTCAGAGAGCCGAAACTATAGTATGTCCATTTCTGTGCTTTATTCACGTTGTTTTTCATTCTGTAGTCTACAAAGTATGCCTTTTATTTTTGGATAAAAACAGGATAATAATTATACAGGGCTGTAGGGAAGGCAACGACTACGTTTTTTATGAAAAATTTAAAAGATTGGCAGAAAATTAAAAACTTAAAGCTTACAGAATTTCGGATGATTTTGCCATCACAAGCCTCGTCGCTAGTGAGCTGGATCGAACTGGCGTTTGATACAAACTTTTAAATCATTTACGTGTAATGGTATGGAAAATAACTTTAAATCGAGTTTACAAAACAAATAATCGTACATTACTTAGTTGCCACTATCAGCGGAAAGATTAACTAGATGTAAATAAAAATATCCGTCCTTGAGATACCTGCAAGTGACGTAGTGTGGGTATCGCGATCCTGATTGGTTGTTGAAACGTGGCATTTGTTTACGTTAGCAACTGTTCTTTCCATTTTATTTCGAATAAGCCAAGCTCGTCAAGTATCAATTCTCTGAAGTCACGCATTCTTTATTCTTTTACGAATATTCTTTCTCAAAGATTTCAATTCTTTCACTATATATTTACACAGAGACAGACAGGAAACCATGTGGAACATAAACTAATTATGCATCGAAGTTGCCGGGTGCACAAAAACAAAAATATACCACTGTTACAATAAAATATGTTAACAAATAAAAAATTTAAGTAAAAGAAGTTGACGAGAAAGAATTATATTTCAATAAGCGATACTGCGTTGTATTTAACTAACTTCACATAAATTAACATTATAACTTAAGTGGAAAAATGTAGCTCGATTTTAACACACTATCTTATTTAGAAACGATAAGCTCCCATTGAGGTCACAGATCACGCGTCTGTGTATCTGTGATCGTCTTCTTCTCGAATTGTAAATACACTTAATTGTGAGTAAAATAGCTGTAAAGTTTTCTGTGATTTTGACTCTGCAAAATGTGTTTCAACTGACGAATGTTACGAGATTTCACGCCCTGGAACTTTTTCTTATGGCTGGACTTTATAAAAAGACACTACTACGGAAGAGAAATCTTTGATGGCAAAGTCTGTTTCCCCCAGCTTGGTAACTCAAAGTATCGAAAAAGTGAATACATGTAAAGTAAACCATGAAGCGTCAAACACTGGAACAATTTTTTCCGAAAAGCAAACAAATTAAAATACCAGTCTCTTTATATTTTTGATTAAAAGACGTGTGTACCAAAAAAATATTGGCGAAGATGTATACTTACGTTGGCATTCTTGAAAATTCTGTGGTCGCCAGTTATCTTCGCTCTCCCGGCATTTATATTGCAACTGTTTACCTTCATTCAGCGTATGACCAAAAGCACATTTCTGAATACACGTTCTGCAAAGCATAACAAATATTGCTATTTCAGTCATTTGTAAAAGGAAAATGGTTGCGGAAAATTTGCTATTGATCCTTGCCTGGCCCCAGTATCACACCCACGTACCTAGCCCAGTTTTTCAGGGCTCTATCTTTTAACGGCTATGATAAGAATGCTGCGTAATTAAACCTGGTCAGATGACGTGGACAGCACCTGAGTTTCTCTCTCCAAACATCCACACTAGAACCGTGGTGGTTCAGAGGATAGATAGCCCAACACCCAATGAGGTAGCCTGGTTTCGAATCCCAGCGATGGCTGGTCGATACGAATTCCGCACTCGGCTCGCTTCGACCACAATGCTGAAGAAAAATATCTTTAGTGGTAGACGGATTATGTGTTAGTCCCCTTGCTATCAGGCTGACCGTGGGAGGTTTTCGTGGTTTTTCCTCTCCATGTAACGCAAATGAGGGTTAGTACCATCAAAAAGTCCTCCATGAAGGTTAATGTGGCCCAATACTTGATCCAGAAGTTCCCTTGTATTCTGGATTTGTTCAAAATTACAAGTCTACGGATTTGAACATTGGTGGTCGTAAACTCAAAATTGGAACGGCTGTTCAATAATGGCTCTGAACTTTGAACTTCCACACCACAACCAACGAGAGAACTTTCAGTTTCGACTGATTTAATATGAGGCATATATGGGCCGAACTCTAGACCACCAGCACTGTGAGCGACTACCCGAGTATCATATTTAATACAACAAAAATTTCGAAAAGGACAAAACAAAAAAAAAAACATGGTTGTTTGTTTCCAACCAACTTTTATCATAGTTCGAAACCTGTAATTTGTGGTAGGAGTTGACAATGTTAGTTTTTTTATTTCTTCTCATAATTATTATTATTATTTAATTTTTGTTTATGAATAAGGTTTAAAAACGTCAGGTTACGTAAAAAAAATTCCGCATAAAAAAGAAATCACGTAAAATCTTTTCGAATGTAAAGCAGGCAAGTAAAATTTTTTCACCTGAAAAAGAGTTGATTAAAATTTTTCTGTGGAGAAATGAGATAAAATTTTTCCCTATGTTTGAATTAAAATTGTTTTTTTACATGACAATTGGTCAAGTAAAACTTCTCTATTTGAGAAAAGATCTCGTTAAATTTTTTTCGTGACCATTTTACACAGCCTCTGTCTCCATTTTATTTGTGAAAATGAACTGACTATATATAGATGATTATATGTATGACTATATATATGACTTTTCTATTATAGATGGTTGACTGAATGTAAACAACATTATTATATTAGTCCCTATATCCCTATATTAGTCCCTAGTAAACAATAACAAGCTTCCTAAAACCGAAAGAAATTTCCAAAACTTCCGGTGTATCCCTCCGCTTATGTTATACTTTCGAGGTGATGTGTGAATAGGCTTAATATTCTAGGAAGTTTTATTATAATGATTTTGTTGCAATTTACGCGAAATTTTACCATTCATAAGAGTTTTCTGTAATTTATAAATTCTAACAGGTCATGAGACTGTAAGAATTTTAAGAAAATTAATATCATATTATAAATAAAGTTTAAGGAATGCCATGTTTTGTGTGTTATCCCTTAGTTGGCTATATTTGTGTAAAATATCACCGTTTGTGTTTTTTGAAGTAACATCAAAGCATCATAGCATGCTCGCGGAGCCTTTCGAATTTATTTGTTAATTGATTCGTTGAAAATTAAACTGAAAGAACGTGTTACATGGAAAACATTAAGGCTTAGGAGTAAAAAATCAATCGGAAGTTGTAATCCGGAAGTCGTACGACGACTTTTAACTCCTAGCGCCATCTGTGCTTAGCTGTACACAATAAACCATCCATAAAGGGACTCGGAGTGGGAAAAGATTATAAAGCCTTTCAACGTTTTCCCAAAGAAGTAACTTACACTTTTGAAGGATAATGTGTGCAGGTTAAATCAGATGTCTGCAGGGAAGTAGGATAGTGACACCAATCATTTTCTCTCTTTCTGCGTGTCGTGTTCAAACCTCCTGAAAAAAATTCGAAAATAAGATATTTGACCGAGAACATTCGAATCTTACCTTGGCGCTCACTAAAAGTATTTTAACCAATTAAATGTTACACCTTTCTTTTTTTTAAAAAAAAAATAGTAAAAGTATCCCATCTTCAAAAAATATATATATATATATATATAAAGGCTTTAAGTATTGTCTATTATTCTTTTTAATGTAAACTATGACCATATATAATCTATTTGTAATTCTTATAGTTTACTATACAAGTAGTGAAATCTCCGGTGCTTTTCCACCATTTAATGTACTGGATAAAAAAAAAAAAAGGAGAAAATAGACAAATTCAAAATATTTATAAGCTATGCAATGATACGAAAACCGATCTTCCACACAAATCGGTGCGGGGAACAATCACGAAATTTTAAATACGAATCCCAATTTTTTTATTGCAGATTTGGATTCTCAAGAAAAAAATAATCCCACTTAAATTGTATGTTCTTAAAAATTGCGTTAAAAAAATGTATACCTTACAATTCAAAATTTTTTTCAACTATTGTTAAATAAAATAATAAATAAGTAGTATTAAAAAATATTTTTTGCATGTATTTTTTATCTTTGGAATTTTATTATTGCTTGCAAAAATTTTCCTTTCACTTAAAAAGTTCTCCAGATATGGCACAATACGCTGAAAGTTAAATTAACATTTAGTGATCGAAACTTTGAACCGCCTTCTCAACCGAATTATTCGGACCATTTATTTTTCAGATAACGCAATCATTTATATTTTGAGGGTCAGAAATCCAAATCCATCGGGAAAAAAAGGGCATGTTTATGCAGAGAAAAAACGTTTTTGTATCAAAATTCGTAACTAAAAACACCCTTCTTCTCCAATTCAATAGCATATTTGAGGTTATCCTCTTAAATCAGTAAGAGTGAGTCCAAGTTTGTGAAAATTCGATCATTCGATCGAAAATTATTCGAAGAAATTCGTCTGTTTTTTTCCCACGCACAGTGCATTTAACACGTTTCGTAACTAGCTTTTCTCTATCGTAATGTATTTTCGGACTAAGATGAAAAAGTTTTAGAAATAACTTCTTTCTTTCCTTTTCGAAATTTACTTTAATTCTGACGGTGAGGTTTTTCGAATAATTCCGACATTATGAAACCTTTTTCTTTTAGCAAAGTTTTTAGTTTCGAAGGTTGAAGTCGTTGACACCGTTGCCAACTTCTACATCTCAATATTAGTCTGTAGGAGAAGTTATTTCACTTTTTCTCAATAAACTTACAACCTGATAGTTTAATATTTTATATTAAAGAACAGATCTCTCTCAAATGCTACAAATTATTTTTAAATGCTATTCATAATTTTTAAAACATCTTTAATAGTGTTTTTAGAACAATTCACGATTTGTTTATAAAGTTATTTTTCAAGTTATGAACAACATTTTACTTTACGTACTTAACAACTACATACTTTATGAACAAAATCTTTTTATTTCTGAAACTTAAAGTAAGAAGGTTTGAAAATGTAAAAAAAAACATTAAGAATATCAGAACATTCCGATCGAAAATAATAAAGCTGTTGCTAAAAACAGACGATTTATTGAAATGTATTGACGGATGTCACTTCGAAGTGGATGTCTGTAATTCAAGCAATGTTTTCAGAAGTCAGCCCTAGAGATTAACACTAGATTGTCCAAGGAAGTCATTTTGACTGCTTTTTAATTTCAATTAGAAAAACAATGAATATAATGACAAAATTTCTCAGAATTTTTTGACTTTTTGTACAACATATAATTTTTTTATTGTTAATATTTACTATAACTGTAAATAACGTAAAAAAATATTAAAATTAATTTTAAACAAATTTCTTACGCATTAGTTATTCTTTCATTATCCAGTCATTTTGAATGCTTTTGGGCAATATTTTAAACTAAGTTTCAGCCTTTTAAGTATTGAAAGCCGTTCCTAGCATTTTACTTTATTATACATGTCTTCAAACTCAATTTAAAGTTTTTAAAAAATGTTTCTTTTTTAGAAATATCTGTTATGTTATCCAAATCACTGACAATGAGCAGCAGCACTCGACTATTTTTAAAGCAAACACAGTGAAACCTCCAGGAAGGATCACCTCTATGTAGCGACCACCTCTATTTAGAAGAGACCATTAAAACCTCTCCCAGCGACCGGTCAAACATTTGCACCAAATGCGGAAAAGGTCAAATGAGGAAACACGAAAAAATATCAAAACAAAAAATGTATGCTATTAAAATGTATTCAAAATATTTCTGTGTGGCTCTTTTTTAGAGAGCTCTTTTTGACGATACAATCTCATGTTGATGCCATATTGCACTAAAGACGGTGCTTGTTATCAATGATTCACTTTTAGAGTTGAAAGTTAAATTAGGAAAAAAAGTTATTTTATGAAGAATAAAGCTTCTCAAACGAATAAATCTGTTCTCATCTTTTAAAGCTAATTAATTTTATATTAATGATATAAAATTAAATGCAAACTTGAACNTTTCAACGTTTTCCCAAAGAAGTAACTTACACTTTTGAAGGATAATGTGTGCAGGTTAAATCAGATGTCTGCAGGGAAGTAGGATAGTGACACCAATGATTTTCTCTCTTTCTGCGTGTCGTGTTCAAACCTCCTGAAAAAAAAATTCGAAAATAAGATATTTGACCGAGAACATTCGAATTTTACCTTGGTGCTCACTAAAAGTATTTTAACCAATTGAGTGTTACACCTTCCTTTTTTTAAAAAGAATTAAAAGTATCCCATCTTCCAAAAAAAAATATACTAAGGCAAAAAAAAAAAAACTAAATATTGTCTATTATTCTTTATGTGTAAACTATGATCATATACACAGAAGAGCCATTTCATTATGACCACCCTCCATCTATAACAATGGGCTCGCCCAGGTTTCCATGGTTTCTCGCCCAGGAGCAATGTTTTCATGGGGCACATTAGGACCCATAATCCTCATACAACAATCCCTGACGACTGTAAGCGACTTGAACATAGTTGCAAACCAGGTTTACCCATTCAAGGCAACAGTTTTTCCTGCGGGGTATGGTGTTTACCAACAGGATAATGCACCATGTCATAAGGGTTGAATCGTCGAGGAACATTCCAGTGACTTTCAAGTCATGTCTTGGTCCCCAAATTCACCTGACGTTGATCCAATACAGCATTTGTGGTCCTACTTGGAAAACCAAATTCGTGCTGGCACGCTACCCCCTCGCAATGTGAGGGAATTGTAGGACCAGTTGGTGAGCGCTTGGTACCAGATACCTCAGACTACCTATCAGCACCTTGTGGAATCAAGAATAAGCTTCTCAAACGAATAAATCTCTTCTCATCTTTCATTTTTATGATATAAAATTAAATGCAAACTTGAACAAAAACCATAATTGTTTATTTATTTAAAATATCTGAATCATTTTTAATTGGTAAATTTGTTTTTACACATAATTATATCAATTGAGATAATTTTTATAGACGCTAAATTTTTTTCATAGATCCGTCTTTTCATGACGCCATTTCTGCACCTAGAATATGACACTGACTAAAATTAAAATCGTTGATAACAATTTTGCAGTCAATGGAGGTAATCTCTAAGAACGATCAAGCTCCATCAACTGCCATTTTACTGTAGGACGGAGAGAGGTTGCTCAACACCTCCTAGAAAAGAGTAGGCCTCAGCACGGGTTACCATAAATATCNATATGACACTGACTAAAATTAAAATCGTTGATAACAATTTTGCAGTCAATGGAGGTAATCTCTAAGAACGATCAAACTCCATCAACGGCCATTTTACTGTAGGACGGGGAGAGGTTGCTCCCGAGAGGTTTCACTGTACTTTTATGTAATGAAATTCACATTAAAAACAAGGACAATATTCTTCTTACCAATTGGTATATGGACAGTTAAAGGATACACCACTATATCTCTTTTCTGGATACGAATGGAAGGCGAACCTGGAAAAGAACACACAATTAGTAGAAAAGTATTTAAAGACTTACAAACAGAACAAAATATTACTATTCATTATTACTCCGCTCGCCAACCTTCAGAACTACTTTCGCAGTTTCTTTGATTTTCCTTCTTCGCTCATAGGATTATGAAGTTTTAAATGAATGATATTGGGCAATCGGAATAGTATTGGGAATTTTACTTCAGGCTTGTAGCCACTTTTTCAAAAATTGATAGTTTTAATCAATTAAAAAGCTATTGATGAATTGTTTAAGATATTTCTTCTAAAGTATTTCACGAAATATGATATACATTACAAGATTCATCTATAAAATGAAGAAAAAATTTTAAAAACAAGTGCAAAATAATAAGTAATTATTCCCCATTTATTAAAAAAAGGGTAATAATTAGATGCACTAGGGGTGTGGCTTCGTCGAAAAAAGTGACGCTTGGCAAATAATTTTTTAATCGCTATTTGTTAAATCTAGTTGCCCTCAGACCAGTGGCGATTGATAATTAAGCTCAAATCGTGGCTAAACAAACTACGAACTCTGGAACATTTTGCGTCTCGAAACAAAAATCGTAGCTAAACAGAGACGTGAGTTAGTGAGAGCAGCGAGCACTATGTGAAGCCTTAAATATTATGACAAGCCCTAACAGCACACAAGGCTAGCTAAAATAATATCCACTTGCTAATTGGAATCTGGATAAAAGATTAGAATCTCGTTGCCGTTGGACAAACTTGAGACGTCTTCGTGGTATTCTCCCATATGTAATGATTTATATTTTGTTTCACTCATTAATAACCCTCGAAGACAATTTGTTTCTTTGCCATCAGTTATCTTCTGTACTGTGGTGGTTCAAGGGATAGAACACTCGCCACTCAATGAAGTGACCGGAGTTCGAATACTAGCGATGGCTAGTCGATACGAATTCCACACCCGGCTCATATCGACCATAGCGTTGACATAAAATGTCCTTAGTAGTATGACGGATCATGGGTTAGAGTCCTCTTGCCGTGAGAAAATTTCGTGTCGTTTTTTTTTTTTTTTTTTTTTTTTTTTTTTTTTTTTTTTTTTTTTTTTTTNTTTTTTTTTTTTTTTTTTTTTTTTCATGTAACGCAAATGCGGATTAGTTCCATCAAAAAGTTCATAAATTTCCCGACCCTTGTCTTCAAGATAGGGTTCAAACTAACAAAACCTCAGAGTTGAAAATTGGTAGGCTTAAGCTCAAAATTGAGTCGGCTGTTCAACGAAGGTTATAAAATGAAAAATAAAATTTTTTTTTCTTAGTTGAATTCAAAATATCAACAATAAGTAAGGATATAAGTATACTTTAATGTTTCAGATAGGTTAAAATTGGGGCATTTTGTTCCGGTCCAGTAGTGGCATTTTCACTCGTGGTCACTTTTTCAACAATTCGAAATTCTAAACCATTGATAATATAAAAGTAAAGCATTTTTTAAAGCATATCTCAAAAGATAGTGTTTTTTTTTTTTTTTTTTTTTCTAAAATTAAGAAAACTTTTCCTGACATCTCCTACTAGATACATGCAAAATTTCAGATCGTATAAATCGTTTTTATCTATAAAACGTAGAACTACATAATGTTTCTGCAAAAAATGTGACATAAAATCTATGTTTATATACAAACATTACAAATTACCATTACAAAATTACATTTATATGCATTACAAAATAAATCTGAAATAATGGTGCTAATAACGATAAAATTATATTAATTAGATTATTTTTCAATTCTATCCATCTTAAGTTTTAAAAAAAGTAATATAAAATTAACTTAATCTAAAAGGAAACTAAAATTTCGCAGTCCCCTTAAAATTTTCCTATCTTCCCCAGGGCCCGACTTATCTTAATTGGGACCCGGGGCAAAAACTTCTTTGGGGGTCCCCTCTGCTTNTTTATTAAAAAAAGGGTAATAATTAGATGCACTAGGGGTGTGGCTTCGTCGAAAAAAGTGACGCTTGGCAAATAATTTTTTAATCGCTATTTGTTAAATCTAGTTGCCCTGAGACCAGTAGCGATTGATAATTTAGACCAATAATGAATGGTGATGCTCTTTTCAAAACTAAAGCTCTAAAAATAGGAAATCTATTATGCGTCTCGAAACAAAAATCGTAGCTAAACAGAGACGTGAGTTAGTGAGAGCAGCGAGCTCTATGTGAAGCCTTAAATATTGTGACACGCCCTAACAGCACACAAGGCTAGCAAAAATAATATCCACTTACTAATTGGAATCTGGATAAAAGATTAGAATCTCGTTGCCGTTGGACAAACTTGAGACGTCTTCGTGGTATTCTCCCATATGTAATGATTTATATTTTGTTTCACTCATTAATAATCCTCGAAGACAATTTGTTTCTTTGGCATCAGTTATCTTCTGTACTGTGGTGGCTCAAAGAATAGAACGCTCGCCACTCAATGAAGTAACCGGAGTTAGCCACTCAATGAAGTGACCGGACTAGCGATGGCTAGTCGATACGAATTCCGCACCCGGCTCTCATTGACCATAGCGTTGATGTAAAATGTCCCTAGTAGTATGACAGTTCATGTGTTAGAGTCCTCTTGCCGTGAGAAAATTTCGTGTTTTTTTCTTCTTCATGTAACGCAAATGCGGGTTAGTTCCATCAAAAAGGACTCCACGAAGGTAAATTTCTCGACCCTTGTCTTCAATATAGGGTTCAAACTTACAAGACCTCAGAGTTGAAAATTGGTAGGCGTAAGCTCAAAATTGGGTCGGCTGCTCAACGAAGGTTATAAAATGAAACATTTTTTTTTTCTAAGTTGAATTCAAAACACCAACAATAAGTAAGGATATAAGTATACTTTAATGTTTCATATAGGTTAAAATTGGGGCATTTTGTTCCGGGCCAGTAGTGGCTATTTTCATTAGTGGCCACTTTTTCAACAATGCAAAATTCTAAACCATTGATAATATAAAAGTATAGCATTTTTTAAAGTATATCTCAAAAGATAGAGTGCTCTTTTTTTTTCTTCCTAAAATGAAGAGAACTTTTCCTGACATCTCCTACTAGATATATGTAAAATTTCAAATCGTATAAAACGTTTTTATCTATAAAACGTAGAACTACATAATATTTGTGCAAAAAATGTGACATAAAATCTATGTTTATTTACTAACATTACAAATTACCATTACAAAACTACATTTATATGCATTACAAAATAAATCTGAAATAATGGTGCTAATAACGATAAAATTATATTAATTAGATTATTTTTCTATTTTATCAATCTTAAATTTAAAAAAAAGTAATTTAAAAATAACTTAATCTAAAAGGAAACTAAAATTTCGCAGTCCCCTTGAAATTTTCTTATCTTCCCCAGGGCCCGACTTATCCTAATTGGGGCCCGGGGCAAAAACTTCTTTGGGGGCCCCCTCTGATTCAGTAATGAAGAACCGAATTTTATGGAGGTATGTAAATTTTTCACCTCATTAAACATGAAAATTTACTAGAACCTAAAATAGCTATTAAATCCCCCCCCCTTCCAATGGTCAAACGAAATATCGTTCTGTCCATTTCTTTGATTTTCTGACAATTCTATGTAAATCATACCGAATTCAGTTTTCTGATTGTTAACTTAGTCATCTAGTTGCGAAAAATTCATATCCTTGCTGATATTAGGGCGGTATTCAGCTAAATTTTCGCAATTACGATGGCTCAATTGAGCCAGTTAGAAGCCTGTATTTTTGTAAGCATATTGTATTTTGCGATATGTAAAAATACAAGCTTTTGATTGGCCCAATTTGTCCATCGTAATTGCGAAAACATAGCCGTATTCCGCACTAGAAAGCCATGGATTTATGAAATTTAGATTTTTTTTGTGTTCGTATGATACTACCGGCTTTGCGGACCATACATCAGCTGTACCATTCACTATTTTATGTGTGAAAAATGGCATCTTGTTGCAAACTTATTTCATAAAAACGCTAAAAAATACTTTAAAACATTTGAAAAATAATTTCAACGGTATATAAGTAAGTTTATTTAAATCGTTACATTTGGACATACATCAAAAAACTAAATTACTTTTTGGACACCTTTAAATATTACTTATTTACTGCTTTTGAAGGTTCAAAATATTGTAAAGGGATAATTCATGATTAAAAAAATTTTTCTATAGTGTTATAGCAACGTAAGTGTCCAAAATATGCCTTTTTGCCCTGAAACATTTGCAACAACAGTGTTTCTCGAAAACATTTGCTATCCTTTATTTAAATTTCTGTTATTAAACAGAATTATAAACTTTACTCCAAAAATTTTTACAGTTAGTTAAATGTAAAGTTAATTGCTGCCAGAACTAAAAGTTTAGATCTGTCTTATGCTTCCCTTTTTAAGAAATGCCCAATATAACTATTTTCTTTTCTAAAATGAGCGATACAAGAAAGTGGTGAAATTAGGACTTAAATCAAATCAGATGATTTCTTACCATCATATTCTGCAAGATGAGATGTAATATTCTTCATAGCATATTTCAGCATGTCTACAAATAAACATAGACTAATAATAAAACTTAAATTTTGACCCTATATCTACAAATTAAATCTAAGCAGTTCATGACCAAAAGTAAACTACACTTTTCAGAAATGCAACTCCGATTTGTTTTGTGCTTCACTTAAAAGTGTCGAAATACGTCTAACTACTGTTGCAAACACCTTGTAGTCCACCTGGTTTTGTATATATTTGTATTATTTGTATATATTTGTACCGAGATTTGTATATATTGTTGCGTTTAATGCGCAATACCCATTTAAAGGACATTGGCTTTTTATCGTTAGGCAATGCAACTAGCTTCCACAGTTAATTTTTATTAAGAACTTATTACCATTTCTTCTTTTGGCAACGTTTCTACATCCTCAAATGACATAGAGTCGAGAGTTGTCATATTAGCTTCATTCACAAAATAATCGTCTCATTTGGTTGGTAATTTAACATTTCTTTTTGGTCTAGTATTTTCTTCACCTCTTTTAGATTCCCACCGATCTCTTCTTCATTTGTAAAGACATCTTCGATGAGAATATACACTTGAACTGAAATACACTTCTTCTCTTCATCATTACATACCCACATTTGTCCCGCAGTGGACTGATCTTTAAGACACGGTTCCCAGCAGATCACCGAAGTCAAGCATCACTGGCTGCGGTGAGTGTGCGGGTGGGAGACCACTTGGATCAGTCTGCGTAGGGACCGAGGGTGTGCGATACGGGTCCTCGTTAAACTGTTCTACCGTAAAGTACTCGACTTCACCTGCAGGTCGTTGGGCTACCGAAGCGGGGTGCTATCCCTTCTGCAGAGGATCGAAATTGTGATGGCTTGTCTTCGGATCATCCTCTGGGATGTTTCCCAGACCGTCGCCAATAGCCCATTGTGCAACTCTAGTGTGACGCAAATTAATTACAACAACAACGCCCCACATATCGGGTTACACGATTTGTGAATGGTACTAATAAACAATAACCCCACGGTGGAATATCCTACAAAGATCATCTATTGGATTTTGCATCTACAGTCCCTGGCCAAATTACTAGACGCACTATAAGATNAATCTACAGTCCCTGGCCAAATTATTAGACGCACTATAAGATTCTAGATAAAATCTTAATTATCAGGTGATAATATACAGCTTTATTGTTTTTATGTGACTGAAACCAGTTTGCACTTGTTTACGTTCGTGTATCAATTGGTTAACATTGTAATGCAGTACGTTCAAAATAAATATAAATAGGAAGTATGTAAAAAATCTCCTACATTGAATACACATATATCTAAATATAAAAGTATTGCATATAAACTCGTACAAAACATGTAATCATTAAAAAACTACAGTGCGTCTAATAATTTGTTCTAATTATAACAATATAATACCTGATATAAAAAAGATTCTATATAATATATCGTCTAATTTATCCAATTGATACACTAACGTAATTAATTGCAAACCGAGTAAAAATAATAAAGCTGTATCACCTGATAATTAAGATTTTACATAGAATCTTAGAGTGCGTCTAATAATTTGACCAGGGACTGTAGCTTCTTTCGTAAATTGTCAGGAACTTTCGCATCACAACTGAAAATTTCAATCACATTAGAAAGCTCTATATTTTAGAGCTTAAGTCCTCTCTAAAAGATATCTGTTGGTTTAAAAATGAAAGTTTTGACTCCATATGAGCAATTCGTTCTAGACGTCCAGTTGAGTTTCATGAAAAGCGATTAAACCAACTTTTGCAAGAAGCATTGCGTGGGCCAGCTTTTTCAGAAAATGGAATGAGTCTACACTTTGACTTTTAAGAAAAAGGAATAAAATAAACCCTGGGAACTCAGTTGTCAACCCAGTAATACAATTTTGTGGAAACTAATGTTGCATTTATTTTACGTACCTCTGTATTCCGGAGTAACTGTTTCGTTCTTGTAGATTACAAATTCTGCTAACCCTAGAAATAAAAATACATCAAAATGAAAAGAACTTTAATAATTAAATACACTCATGTCCAAAAGTTAAAAAAAAACGTGCGCATTTTCGTGGATAATTCAAGAATGAGTGACCCAAAGAAAAGGAAATATTAAAAAACAATTGATGGCATGAACTCAAAATCATGAATATGTGAACATTACAACAAGATAGTTTGAAAATTATACAAATTTAAACTTGTAAAGGATTTAATATGAGACATGAACCTGTCGACAGTACAAACCTTACAATAAGCTCTCATGTAGTTTACTTGGTTGACAATGTTTTGTGACTTTCAGTCGTGGAACAATAAATATAACCTCTCCATTATGAGGCATTTCTTAACCTCAGGAGGTTTCTGGTAGGTGCCAAGCTATTATTTCTCTGCCAATAGCATCTCGGAGATGTTTGGTAGTATTCAAGTCTGGTGATGTCGCTGATTATAGTCGGCTTTATGGCATTTTTTTCAACTAGCTCAACTCACTGTAGATGCGTGTTATAAAGAATGAATTAGGCCATAAGAATAAGCACTAAAAGCGTCTCTGAGCAAGCTAAATTTGAGTCTAAGATCTCAGCTTTAGAATGGAGTGGCCAATCAGGTGTACAGATCTGAATCCAATCGAGAATATCTATTATATGTTAGGATTTAGGTCTATTATATATTTTATTAAGATCACCTATATTAGGATTTAGTTCTAGAGAACGTTTGCAAAATTTGCTGTTTAAAACGCATATCATTTAATCTTAAACAATATTTTGATTCTATTTCGCAATATAGAAAACATAGTTTATAATAGAAAACATCGGTTCATAAACATGTGTTTATTTAAATCTCTAAAACCTGTCAGACAAAAGCTCAGTTGTTTAAACTTTAAAATTAATTATTGGCACAAATTACCAAACCTCAATACAATTTAAATCACGTATGAACAGGTTCTTTGCAGTTTTTGACAAGTTCCTTAAGTCGATGCTATTTTTTCAATATTTTGTTTCTGTATTTTTAAATAAATATTCGCGTGTTATGGTAAAACTACCATAGAATCAAATTGTAGTAAGCGAGATGCGAAATGGACACCCGTTTGTTAAAATATGCGCATAGAAAAATTGGATTTTTCTTTTTTTTTGGGGGGGGGGAGGATTTTAGTTTCAGTGATACTTAAACAAAAAAAAAATTTAATTCTAGCAGTGCACGGGGATCGAACCCTAGTCCATTACACTGATAGTGTCTTAATCACTGAACCATAGCGACTGTGTGATAATTAAATAATAAAGATAATATTAAATGGTCAAAATATTTATTTGTACTCACTTTCCTTGCAAGTGTATTTTTTACTGCTAGATCTGCCCCAACACTTCGAAACGCTTATTTTACACATGGAACATTTTAAGAAATGATTTCTAATTACATCAGGATAATACAGAATGCTTGTTGAACTCAATTTCGATTTGATGATGTTTTCGAGGATTTCCTCCACTGCTACACTGGAAGAAAAAAATTCAAGCAAAAAAAGATTACTTTTACTGCTGAAATAATGGAATAGTAGCTGTTTATTCTTGTAGCACTAAAGGCTGTTGGCGATGATTTGACAATTTTGATCCTCTGCGTAGGGGATGGCTCTCCCGCTTTTGTAGGCCAATGGCCTGAGCGCGAAATCCAGCACTTTACGGTTGAACAGTTTAATCAGGACCGATGGATGATTGACAGAATTAAACAGTAACAAGCTTCCTAAAACCGGAAGAAATTTAGAAAACTTCCGGTGTATCCCTCCGCTCAAGTTATGCTTACGAGGCGATGAGTGAACAGGCTTAATATTCTAGGAAGTTTTATCCAGGGCTAAAGAGAATAGAAGGGCTAGTTCACTCCGTTCTTAGAACTGAAGCTAAGATTTCCCTCCTCATGACGTCACTGTGTCCACAGATCTCGGAAGATCGCACGCAAAGATATTATGATAACTTTGCATCTTTCTCTTTGTAAAAATAAGTTGAACTTTTTCTGGTTATTAGCTTACAAACTTTACGTAATTAACACATTATTTCCATTCATAAACATAGTTTAAAAAAACTTTATTGGCCAGTATATTAAAAAAGTACCATTTTAAACTTATAAAAATATTTTACTAGTTGGCGAAAATGACACTATAAATACTTTATTTTAAAAAGTTCAGTTTTAACTTTAATTATTAAGAAAAATGAAAG